GACGGTATCCCCTCAGCGATCGAAGTAGTACGCATTGCAGGGCACTTTTGCCTACAATAGTGCTATGAAAGTCTTTTAAAAACATGATAGGATAAGCAATCGATAATAAACATGTGGTAACGATATTGAGTAAATTGTTTGACACTATTTCCGTTTCCGCTCCATATCCTTGTGTCTGGTGGCCACGAAATAGGGGAAAACACCCATGTCAAGAGCAGCTAACATTGCCGACACTAGCGGTAGGTCGTAATAGAAATGAAGACCTGAAGCTCTCCGACATTGAAGTTGCTTTAAAAAAATGGAATTGAGCGGTCAGAATTGGATAAAGAGACAAAATATTCCAGTTTAAATGCTTTCCATCGCTTACCAAACACAAAATCAGCTGACCCAAGAACCACTAATAGGAATATGACATGGACAAGAAGATTCACACTCTGAAAATGTTCCTATTTTTCGCGTGATCTAATGAGAAACAGTAAAGTTTTACTGGAATGCTGCTTTAGGTAAAACTTAGACACTCACCAAAAGGGCTACAGCAATTGTTCGGTGAAAAAACACTTTAGATGAATACACGATAATCTTTGCAACGCATGCTAAGCAGGATAGGAGAGCACAAGAAATAGCGAAAAATATGAACATAGACCCAACATCTGGAATTTCAGTTCGTTAGCAGCACTACCAGCTATTTGAAAGATTATGAAGAATAAGCGCCGTGGTTGGTGGGGCCTCACAACATACACGCCGTCTTGGTTCGAATTCGCGTTAAACCAGACCTCTATCCCTCTGAGGTCGAAAAATTGGAACCAAACTCATTTGAGAGACTAAGACACTAATTTGATATATCATTAGACTACTACAAGTCATTGTAAAGGCCAGATATGCATTCAATGACTTCCAGCGGTGTTTGATGAAGTTGAATGCATGAGGCATCCCTCAGGGATCGATCCATGCCGAACTCTTTATTCCTTATGATTTATAAACAGAAATTAACGTTAAAAAACCGAAATTTACGTAGCACTGAACTCACGTAGTGTTCATGACAATGGCATGGCTTAAAATCATTACATACCAATCAACATTGACTTTCTAAGCACAATCTAAATATTTTTTCAGCACCACTCAACGTTATGGTGTATGATTTCTAACCTATGAGACGGCCATTTCGACCACATACTAAAAGTGAAACGAATGGTTCCGATAGCAGAATCGTGGCCTTCCTCATGTTAATCTATTCAGCACAAATTAGTGAGCGGCTTTGGTAGGTGATAAATGGACATCACTAATGCCCGCTCTAGTTTTCCGATTAATAACAAGATTATGACTGATGCACGAAAAAATCTGATGCAATGTAACACCAGATCCTCGTGAAAGGCCGTGATTGATGGGTGTAGATAGCCTGACACGACTCGAATCTAAGTGGAGAGTGTCGTCTGAGTCTGCAGTTGGCATGTGAGGGACCGACTGTCCGACTCCATTTGAGGGTACGAAAAACGTCACGTTTCGTTCAAAGGATTGCGCTGAAACAGCGTAGCCACCCTGCACGCCACAGCCCCATTTTCCATTCGACATCACGTGGAATGCAATCGGTTTGTGCTGTAGTCAATGGTTATCGTTTACTAGAATGACATATCCGGTCCGATTCGATGAGTTTACGACGTTGGCGCTTCTTCGACTGTATAAGTGATTCGTGGCGGTCAAACAGTTCCCACCGCAAATTCAACTTCATAATTGCTTACTTAGACACTTAGATGGCTCGTCCTCAACTGTTGCACGTGCCCCAGCACTTCTTTCAATCATTTCGTTTTCTTCCAGTTGTCATCTACAGAGGTTGTTTGGCTCCGTTGAGGAATCGGTTACAATTTGAGGACGCCATCCTTAAAAACTCAAACGGAAGTTTGCACCCTTGGAGCCCTTCAGGAACGACGGCTATCCCTGTGTGTGCAAGGAATCCTCGATTAGTGAGATCACCATGTAACATATTACATTCCCATTTATCTTTCATAACAGGATAAAGAATAAAGCTCTCGACGTTGATCAATCTCTGAGGGATGCACCATGCATTCAACTTCATTAAGCATTGTTTGGAGGTGATTGAATGCATAATTGGCCTTTACAATGACTCACAGTGGTCTACCGATGTATCGAACCAGTGATGCTATCCTTCCAGAGAAGTCCGGTACAAATTTCCCGACCTCCTAAGGATGAAAGGCTTGTTTGGCCCGGAGCGGAATAGAACTAGCACCATGCTCGTTATGACGGACATCGCTACCACTGCGCTATCTATTCACTTAAAGCAACTGCTAAGATATAATTGCCGGAAGGCTCTATTTCAGAATAATCGTCTTCGCGAATACTGATTGGATGGAAAAACATCACAGACCTCGAAACTGCAAAGAAAAAAAATAGCTGTGAGGAGACTATCCAGTACAAACAAGGGACACGAGCATGATGTAACATGAAGAGCAGACATGTTATTAGCCTTAGTGACAATTCCAGCTTGAAAAAAGACGAAGTATGACGTTGCTTGTTCATTTAAACTTCGCTTTGGAATGCCTTCTAAGGTTAGACGTGAACATCATTGGAGTTTGCCTTTATAATTCGTCATGTAGCAAAAAAAATTCTCGTCAACACTTTCTCAGACTGCTTTCCCTTTGCGGATCTTGTCATTGAATGAGTTAGGCTTAACATATCTCCATCAGTAATTGAAAAAACTAGCACTGTTTTCCCGACTTCGAACACTCTTGAGTATCAGTTTATGATGTAGTCCGAGTTCTTACAGGTTTCTTCCTTACTTTGGCGGCTTAGAAAGCGATGATACAGCCACGCATGATGACGAAAGCGTATCAGTGAATGCTATTGATAACGAATGATTAAAAAACAAAACCACCGCCACTGATATTTGTTGACGAGATCTTCCTTCCTCAGCTGATAAGGATTATCTCAAAATGTTTGCTCACTTGCCTTTTTCTTCGCAGTTACCAGAATGGTAATATAAAATTTGAAGTGAGTTAAGGATTAGGAAACTACGTGAAAAGAGTGAATAAGTACATTTATACAATGTTTCTATTCGGTAAATGAAGACGGCAGCTAGTAGAGTCGTTTGAGATGACGTGTAATACACGCATGTACCCTAGTTCGATGGACTAGACAAGCTTGGGGTGATTGATCCAAGAGTTATTTAGCAGAAGCTCCTTCCGATACCCAGATCTTGGCGATTGACTATGCGGTTAAGACATATTCTGCGATGTTCTAACAACACTAGCCCAAGGTCCGAAGAAGAATTGTTTCCATCAGCGTTTGATGACATTTTTGCAACAGAAAAATTCCTCAGACAGGAATCTAAACAACTTCGAAAAACCTTAAGAGACCAGAGAAGCGAGGCAACGTCAGGTCACATAAATAAATATGTAATGGTACGGTCTATTTGGTCAGCAGCGCAGGTTTAGTATTCATCACGGCCGCGAATAAACGTGCAGCACAATCTCGTGGCTTCGTAAATTCGTTCGCAAAGATGATTTCCTCCTGCAAATCGAAGGTCGTAGTCAACAATCACCTCATTTAGGGAAATAATAACTCGCAAAGAAGTTAAAAAATATGAATGCAAGCAACCTGGTGACTGACTATACCGTAAACACCTACCGGCTATGATGAACACACTGTAAATACAGACTGTTGCCCAGAACGTCCACAATATTTGCAAGCCGAGCAGGAATATAAATGTTCCTCGAACCACCCCCTAAAGAATGAGATTAGTTGGATCCCGACATTTATCCCTTTGCTAATAATCGATGTCAACAAGAAAAACCAACCAGATGACGAGTGAGAATCATGGAAAATGGGAGCTTATTCTTATTTGTCCCGTACAGCGTTAACATGAATAGGATTTCGGATTACTTTTGAGTAAAATCTTCATAGGACAACGCCTCGTTTTCTGCAATGCGGAGTATGAATGGTAACCTGTGCATACGGTGTATTGTCCCTCACCATCAAATGAAAGCGATCCCATCATGNTAGGAAATGTTCGAAGATCTTTGTGGACGGTGAACTCGAGGAAAGTGAATCTAATGCGAGAAGCGGTGGAATACGCACAGTAGATGTGATAAAGGTGATGCAAAATAGAGATAAATAACAATATTTAGTTCTTTGTTCACTATCTGTTACTTTTTTTCATAGCAGGGTATTATATGAAATACAACCGCAATCATGTTAAGATATTTGCAAAACTAGAACCACAGGCCATATTTGAATGTTCTATCGCCCGTTCCGGTTGCTCACGTGTTACTCACTGCATCAAAGATACTGTTACCTTGCTTTTCCTTGCTAATGCCTCCAAAAACAAAGCCGCATATCTGTAGGATTTGTAAGACAGCAGTGAGTTTGTTCTGTCGACACGCTAAGAGGTGGGCAAGCCATTCGTGGATATCAACAGACAAACGGTGAGATAAACGGGCCCTACGCCCTGACCACGGATCACCCTTATATGAGGGATCCTGATAGCCGGTTAGTCGCGAGGCTACGTGGCGCGTCCCCAGGTGGCGGATAGGAGGTTAATCGCGGACCAAAAGCGACCTTTGCTTTCCTTACACGCAGGTTGATCTAGGGCATTTTTCTGTTTCAGCTGCGCCGATTTCGCACATACTTTCTGTGTTTGCTAGGCGTATTCATGCATGCGTGTGTGGGTGCGTTCTTGCTTATGCGGATTGTATTCTACGAGTCAATTCGGTCAAAAGCCTGCAATCAAGTGACTGGGAAGTATATGGGAGGCAGTTAGGAGGCGTCTCCAACAAATAAGCTACATGTCCACTCTGGGAGAGCGTGGCGAGCTATCTATGAGCATACCCAGTCCCCACGTTCAGAGTCCAGCAAGCTATACGTGGGTATCAAAAATGCTAAACACAGTAAAAAAAAAACGGGCCTCATTCCCCTAACTCCGAAAGAGCCCCCAATTTCGCAGCGTTGGGTAGGACGAGTACGGAGAGGCTCCTAAAATCTCAGGGCCAATGGAAGCTGCCTGGATTTCAAGTGTGGTGACAATCTCTACCTACAATGCACGTACACTTACATCCGAGTCCTCGATAGAAGACTTGCTCATGCAAGCAAGAAGGATAAGGTACGACGTTATCGGCCTGGCCGAGACGAGACACCGCCACCTATTCAACGCCGTCTATGACACCGGAGAAGAACTGTTCCTCGGAATATGCGACAGTAGACGAGTCGGCCGCGTTGGAGTTCTCGTCAACGCGAGTTTGTCCATGAACATCGATTCATTCGAACAGCTTACAACTGAAACGGATGTTTACGATTAAGGAGGTGTGGATCAATACTGGCCTTGACAATCTTCGTCGTCTACGCGCCGAAATCAATACTATGACGATGAAGAAGTCGAAGCGTTATATATGGAGTTGGAGAAGTTCTACAGAGAAGACCACACATTCTTCAAGGTCATCATCGGAGATTTCAACGCTAAGATTGGACCAAGAAGAGCGTCCGTTAAACGTCACATTTGGACACACGGATTAGAATGGAACGAAAAGGGTGAGCGGCTATCTGGGTTTAACATTCCCACCAAGACCAAACATGGTAACTCGCAACTCCGGGTGATAAAAGAAGAATGTAAAGAGAGATGGGCAGCAGCAATGTTCGAAGCTGCAGAGGCTAGGAAAAGCATTCGCAAAGCCCACCGAAGTTTCGCCAACTACAAGACCAAGGTGATTGCACTCCGACGCCCAGACGGAACAGATACAGCGTCCAGAAAGGCAATGGGAAAAATCATTCACGATTATTACTCGGATCTCTTCGATAGCCACGTCCACCTTCTGTCAAATGAAATAAAGGTGGATGGATATATTGTACCACCAGTTCTCCCTTCCGAAATCCGACATGCCATTTCGTCGGCGAAAAATCGAACAGCACCAGGTCCGTACAGGATAATACCACAACACCTGAAGACCTTTGTGTCAGTCCTCGTAAACACACTGGCTCGGCTTTTCACACTTTACCTGTCTGAATGCAAAGTCCCTACTCAGTGGAAGACCAGCAAGACCGTGTTGTTGTTCAAGAACGGTGATCTCCACGATATCGGTAACTATCGCCCAATATTCTTGCTGTCTCTCTCTACAAACTCTTCACTCGAGTCGTCCTAAGCAAAATTGGCAGAACACTGGACGAAGGGCACCCATGTGAAGAAGCAAGGTTTCGAAAACGATTTAGTACAATGGACCACATCCACACGGTAACACGGCTCATTGAAGTATCGCGAGAGTACAAAAGGCCGCTCTGTCTCACTTTCATCGATTTACAGAAGACATTTGATTCAGTTGAGATATAAGCAGTCTTGGAAGCCCTTGATAGTCAAACACTCCCTACTCAGTACATAAAGATTCTCGTGTGCTGTACAAAAATTTCACAACCAAGATATCACCATTCTACAGCGAGATTAACATCGACGTCAAAAGAGGAGTTAGGCAAGGCGATACCATCTCGCTAAAATTATTTACCGCCACCCTCCAGAAGTTCATGCGAACATTGTAAAGGGACAATATGGGAGTAGAAATCGATGGTCGGCAGTTACACCATCTTCTCTTTGATGATGACATCGTCCTTATAACACCAAACACTAGCCAAGCGGATCGTATGCTTGACGACTTTGTTAAAGTCTGTGAAAATATTGGTCTTCGACCAAGTATCACAAAAACGATGTTCATGACGAACGGAATGGTTTCGCATACCCCATTCACGCTCAACGGAACGAATATCTCCGAATGTTTGTTATGTCTATCTAGGTCGGGAAATCAATATGATGAACGACTTAGCTCCAGAGCTGAGCAGAAGGAAACGAGCGGATTGGGGAGCTTTCATGGACATCTAAGAAGTGGTGAGCGTGAACAAAGAACACTCAACTCCTTGCGCACCTTTTCGACTCAACGGTACTTCCTGCCCTAACGTATGCGTCAGAAACCTGATCGCTGCGTAAGCAGGATAAAGGATCACTCAGTGTTATCGAACGCACAGTCGAAAAGGACGATGCTCAACGGAACGAATATCTCCGAATGTTTGTTATGTCTATCTAGGTCGGGAAATCAATATGATGAGCGACTTAGCTCCAGAGCTGAGCAGAAGAAAACGAGCGGTTTGGGGAGCTTTCAACAGCATCGAGGATGTAGTGAAGGAAACGAAGAACACCCGACTCCGTGCCCACGTTTTCGACTGAAAGGTACTTTCTGCCCTAACGTATGCGTCAGAAACCTGATCGCTGCGTAGGCAGGATGGAAGATCACTCAGCGAAAACTTCTTGAGACTTTTTGGATAAATGCCAAAAACCCTACAATGAATAGCAGGGATGAATGTCCGGAGGTCATACGCGACCTGATCCCGTATGTTCGCATCGATTTTTGATGTAGGATGGTCCAGTCGTCAACCACATGCGACTATAATCAGCTGTTCTAAACTTCCTCATTGGAACTCACAAAAAAGCGGTGGGTTTTTCGAGAAGTTGTTGATCGTGTAATTACCAAAGAGTTTTTCGTCTTTTTGTAAGTGTTACTGAAGCGTTTGGCCTAGTAGATTGTATATCAGCATGCCCTTCCGGGTTCTGAAGAAGGCGATACTGCCGAAACGTCAGCTAGCGTTGTATTGTATTGTTTTTTATGGAAGTAAATGTATGCTGTTTAAAAACCTCGCGATTGCTGAACAAGAAAACGACACATTCATATTCCAATGCCGAGGTTAATAGAAAGTCGATCCTGGGAACTACTACAAGATCACTCAGCGTCATTGAACGCGCAGTCGAAAGGACGATGTTAGGAGTATTCCGTTTCACACAAGTAAGGGAAGGTATCCGAAGCCCCGACCCGCGTCAACGATCAAAAATCAAGGAGGCTGTTCTGTACGCCAAACAGTCGTGGGCCGGACATGTAATGCGTATGAGCGACAACCGATGGACAAAAGCCGTTAGCGACTGGATTCCTCGATCATGAAATGCGTAGAAGAAGGATATGATGCTTAACGAGTCTCTAGAGCGAGCAGAACCTACTCAACTACTCTTGCACGCGACTTGGAAAAATAGATTTACTGGGGCCCGCTTGAGTCACTAAACGATCACCGGGACCACAGGTGATATAAGTGATAATCCCCTGACCATGAAACAGCCGCCGATACGTAGTACTGGATAACACGACTATCGAAAAGTGGCTAAAATCTCACGGACGCATTATGGTACGGAAACCTGGGAAGCGAAGATGAATAGCTGCTATAGCGTCATAATAGCTGAAGTATAAAGATGCCGCCCAGTTAATGCTGTCTATGATACTGAAGAAGAATAGTTTCTAGAAAAATGAGAATGCGGAGGAGTCAGTGGCGTTGGTGTCTTCGAAATCTGAAGTTTGAGTATGATTAACGATTCCTTTGAACAACACGAATTGGACCTTTACAGTGAAAGAGATATGGACAAATACTAGTCTTGACAATGTTAGTCGTTCATGCACCGAGATCATGCGGTAAAGATGACGACGTCGTGTCCTAATAGACTTAAAAGATATCTTTCTACTTCTGTTCAGCAAACACGAGGTGCTATTTTATTTCTTTACTTACGCACAAGCTGACGTTTCGGCGGATTTCGCCTTCCTCAGAGCCTGGAAAGGTCAAGTTGACTGCAATCCACTCGGCCAAACACCTCTATAACCAAACAGAGAAAACGCTAAACCAAGATTTCAATCACATTTAGCATAGCTCTGCACACTCACCGCTTTCTATGAGTCTTCCACTGAGTATGTCGCGTGAAGACCGACTGCACAGAATTCACATGGAAGCGTAATGTGCCCCTCCCATCAGAATAACAGCTTTATATACTGTCCAATATCACGCGTGATATCGAGGCATTCCTCCCTGCGGTTCATTTTCGGATTCTTGGAATTAATCCAGAATGATTCTAGAGTTTTGCGCGCTTGTGTTCTCGATTCTTGCGCGAGGATCGTAACCCTTACTTCAAAATCTTCTCCGTTATGTTTCTGCGTGCTATACGTACATAGTGAAGTACTTAGCTCACGTTTGCCGACTAGGTGTTCTTTTATACGTACGCAGAGTGGTCTACCCGTTTCGCCAACGTATTCGTCCCCGCACGCTTTACAAGAGATCAGACAGACTGTACCCGAACTCATGCAGTCACCGTCTCTACCAATGTGGCAAATTATGCATATATGCATATGTATAAACGGAACCTTGTTGTCGCTAGAGTTATCGTTAGGGTACCTGTGGTTTCCACTACACCTATCTCGAACTACGGTTTCGTAGCCATTAAAAATGGCTATTTGCCGCGCCCAGTTCCGGGACTTCTCTCTCTGTTGTCTTCCTGTGCACACGTTGGTAGCTGTTCGATACATGTTTCTCACAAGCGCCCTTTTCGTGTGAGAGGGATGAGAGGAGAGGTAATGAACTAGGATGTTTTTACTACTTGGCTTTCGCTACTACTTCGTAATGTAGCCGTTTTCTGATAGGCTAATTTGCACGTTCAAAAATGGAAGCCAGTCTTCTTTTGGTTTCTCTTGGGTGAATTTAATATACTCTGACTGTGTATTCAACAACTCGAAACACCTGTCGATTTCTTCTTGCGTTGAACAAATAACCAAGCAGTCATCTATATATCTACAGTAGAGTAACGAACCGAGGTCGATTACTGGCACTTCCACCTTAGACATGAATGCAATGGCAAGGCCTGGTGCCAGTCGTTGTCCCATTATCAGCCCTCTCATTTGTGCGTAATACCTCCCGGACCATCTGAAGATTGAGCAGTTTAGGCACTCCTTTAAGAGCATCTTTAGGCTTTAGGATTCAGCAGTTGATGACACTCGATTTCAGCCGCAAGCTGGAAAAGAACTCTCTTCATCGACCACGAGGAAAAAGTCTAGCTGTATACGACGAGAACATTCTGAACGAAGTCCTGTCCACACGTGACTGGCAGATTAAAGAAGACACTACGGAAGACTACAAGCTGCTTGTCGAAGGACTGAACAGCTGTGCTGAATTCGCTTCAGTTCCTCAAGCAAGAAGAGCAAATACTGTCGCCACTACCACGAAGAAGTTGCTCGGAAAGAAAAGGAAGCTGAAGCTTGGTCCTAGTACCGACATAATTAATAAAGGATAAAGGGATACAGCTCTCGGCGTTGATCAATCGCTGAGGGAAGCCCCATGCATTCGACTTCATCAAGCATCGTTTGGAGGTGGTTGGATGCATATCTGATCTTTGCAATGACTCGCGGTGGCCTAACGAAGTATCGAGCCAGTGTTACGATCCTCCCAGACAAGCCTGGTGTCAGTTATCCCACCCAAAAGGGATGGAGGGCTGGGTGGAACTGGGGCGCAGAGATCGATTCCACGTGTGTGTTGCAGGACGCCTCGGACCACTGCACCATACGTGGCCTTGTTAACATGTTTAATATAGCTAGTAATTGGTGCCAGTTGGCGAAGAGCTATGGAGGACGATCTACATCGGCACGGGAAAAAGGAACTACTAGGAGCAGCACAAAAATAGCCAGTCTTAAGAAATGCAGGGTCCACTAAAAATTCACTAAAAAGAGGGGATCACTAAAAATTCAAACCATGATATCGAATGAATAATGAAAATGTCTGACAGAAACGTTTTCCATAAAATAATCCCCGTCCGTGACCCTAAAATCTCCGCATGGTGAAGGAGGTTCGACGAGGCGACGCAATATCGCCAAAGTTATTTAGTGCCGCACTGCAGCGGATAATGAGACAACTCGATTGGGATCAGAAAGGCCTATGTAATTATGGAAAGTCCCTAATAAATCTTCGTGTCGTTAACGTCGTCATCTTCTCAAGAAGTACCAACGAAGCACAGACAATGGTCGATGAGCTAAACGAAGCAGGAAAAAGACCAGACTGCAAATAAATAAGATTTAAAAAAACCTATTCACTAGTGCTAAGGCCAACATATCAAACTGGATGGTTCTCTGGTTACAAAGACCACCTCGTCCGTACACCTTGTGCGTTCAACGAGCATAGAAAACAACTTGAAAGAGGAATTAGAGCGAAGAAGAAGAACAGTTTGGGCCGCTTTCGGGCCTCTCAAAGAAGCCACCGATCAATTAAAAAACCCGCACATCCGAGCTCACCGTTTCGATTCGACACTCCTCCTAGCGCTCTGCTATGAATCACAGACGTGGGCTGAGACTTCAACTACGATCTACTCACAGAGAACTTGATATCTTTTGGAATATAACCACTACACAGAACATTAGCCTGAATGCGAAGTTCTGGAATTTGAAATCTATTTGATTCAAGATGCTGGAGAACACATATAAATAGCGAAACAGATGGACATTCACGAAGCTGGAAATTAGTACTGCTACACATTTCCTGAGTACATTTCTCCAAGCACACAGAAAAGTGGGGACACGGAAATATGAGTTGTTCAATAACTGAGGAGGAACAGCTCAATATCCAATCCACATCAATAACCAACCACTTCATGTAAGTCTAATGCACCTCAGAATCCTCTCTCCACCAAATACAAAACACTTGCATGCGTTAATGCATCGTATTTCAATTATAACACGCAGGAATCTCATAGCCTCCCAACGGTTTACCGCCTCATCGTGTCTGGGTGTTCCTGGGTGTAGGACTGCGATGTACAGCGGGTGATTCATCCCCTGGCAGGGTCTCCTAAGCTAAGAAGGAGTCTGGCGTTTCCATCGGGAAGCCTAGCTAAGAATAAACCAATACCAGGATCCACCACCGTCCTGGTATCAAAGTCGCATGGTAGTAAATCTCCCTGTGTTCCACAAGGGCTGCGACTGCCTGTGGTGGTGGAGAACTGGGGCACACTTTAGTCACGCTAACCTCGAGACTCCAGGGAACAACAATGGCTTAACTAGCAAATCTCCGAAAAATGGAGATTATGCTGCGACCCGAACAACCATTGAGGACGGGCCACTCAAGTGCTAAGTGCCAAACCAAGGAATCTCATAGTGATTACTTCACAGATTTTCCTTATACCGACGTACACAATACTCGTCACCATTCCCTATATAAAAGATGAGGCAGGATCATCAACACTTTAACATCCCTAGCCCTTGAATGAACTTAAAATTCATTTCAATTCTGTTGAACTAACTACAACTTTACAACGAGAATCACCATCAAAACCATCGCTTATAGCCACTAAGGAAAGATTGCTTAGGTTAACTTGCCAGATATACTAAATTCTCCGAGTCTTTTGAAGATTATAGAGAACTATGAAAAACTTCACCAGGTAGGTTGAAGATCAGATACGTTGCAACCACAACTTGACAGAACTTGAACAGCTGCACTAAATTTACATAAATACTATGTAAAATATTAATAATCGCTCAGAGTCACCTTAATCACCGTAATAAATATTAAAACAAACAAAGTGGTCCGGAAAAAAACAAAAGAGATCAACGCGCATCAAAAGGTGCAAAAATTAGGGAAAATGCCTACAGAATATGGGATGTATCCTACAATCAAAATTCGACCCGAGTTTCAGATTCCAGCTCGGATACACAAAAAAAAATTACCGCGTTGCTACTGTACAAAGACGATATGACAACAGGTGAACATAAAAAATTGATGTTATGATTGAGAATTGTGCGACTTCGGCTTTTTTCCTGATCCGGAAACCAAATTCGCACTACCCGCTGCACCAGTGCCAGCTAATGACAGTGCCGCCAACGCCGCTGGATCCATTAGAAGCGACTGCATGGCAAGAGGATTCGTCATCAAGGATGCCATCAATAACGGGTTGAGCAGGTCGTCAGGCTGAAAAACAAGAAACAAATTAAGAGAACTAGAAGATGAAAAGAAGCAAGAGCTTCTTCAGATAAGCGCTTCTTAAAACCATAAAAACTGAGCTAAATCGCGAGAAAACTGCTGAAAATTTCAAGGACGACAAATCAGTTCATCTCTCATTTCTGTTTAAAAACAAAGGATAGATACTCTATCTAACATAGATGAGGAAGAATATAAACAATAAATTCACTCAGTGGAACTTGAAACAACAGTACGCTTATAATTAGTACAAAATCACAACACCGAATTCTTCAGCAAGTTTCTGTGGTATGGATACGCAAGAAAAACGGTTACCTTAGCACTAGCTGAGCTAGTTCCTGACGTCGATCCAGCGAGAGCATATGGATTGAAACCGAGAAGGGATTGTTGCAGTAATGTTTGTTGCATAAGCATTTGCATTTGAAGTGTTTCTAACTGCTGTTTCGATGCTGCTTCAGCGGCGAGTGCTACAGAGGAGTTCGAAGAGTTTGCTGATGTCGATGCCCCTGAACCACAACAGATGATCAAATTCTACAAAAAAAAATGCGTTTGTATAGTACCCGTCACAGATTCAAACCCCAAAACATCAACAATTTGAAATAAATGGTAAAATTCCCAACCAACGCGGTTTCGACAACGCTTAGCTCGACCTGGTACCTATTCATGTAAAATAAGATGGAGTAGAAACTAGAAACAAGTTTTGCTAATGTTCACCTATTTGTAAGCTGCATTCCCATAGAATTAACGACATCTTCGACTCCGGATCAATATTAAGAGAGATGATTTGTAAATTTTGAGGACGCAAATACATTAGAGCAACGTTCAAGCAGCATAGTGGTTCACGTAGTCGTCTAATATACTGCTCATACAGCACGTGGACGGCGATACACGAAACACGTACGTCGTCGTTTTGCTGTAGTTTTGAACACTACTACAGATGACCGCCTTCTCAATATCTCATGAATTTTCTCTTGTTAACCACGGGATGGATGCGCCGTAAGTTTCACCATTCAACCAATCAATCAGATAGTAGACTTACCACGTAATTTTTTACGCAAAAAAAATTTCCATACGACAAGTTTTCACATCTACCGTGCGGTTCCATCAAATGTCACATTCGATTCGTTTCCTCGTATCAATCATCCACGAAAGTCTTCTAACTTTCTACGTATTGATTCGGGTGCTGGTTGAGGATTTCCCTTTCGTTCCTTGGAGCCTTTAAATATCCTGGCTACAGTGCTCTTACTTGGATTGCGCAGTGCAAACTTTTCCCAAACAAGTTCTGCCCTGTCTTCTCGCCTCCGGAGAGATGAGAGGCTTGGTGAACACGGAGAGGAGTCGAGCCAGCACAGTGCTCGTGATGATAGTCATCATGTGCTATCCACCACTTTTAACATGTAATAGACGATATAAATTGACTTCAACCCACATATGGCCGAAAACAAATGCGTCTTTCAACACAACAAAAGTGATATGAGTTATAGTGTAAACCATACAAGCCTCTGCCAAGAACATAAAGATTTTACCTATTCTATCACAATGGACCCTGATGTTCTACAGCACTCGAATCGTATTCTTTTCACTCTCAATTTCTGTAAGTCGCGCGACTGAACAAACGCGATTCCGCTCAGCAGGATAAGAGTACATTGATGTGCGCCATTACTGCTGCTTAGTTAAAAACTCTGTCCTCGAAATTTCAGACATTTCAATTGTAAACAAATTTTAGAACGAGATATAGTTTTAGGAAAATTGCATATACCTTATAAATCTCTCTTTAAGTCCTTCAAGAAATGAGATTTTCAAATACTTTATTAATCTAAAAATTACTATCATTTGCACAAATACCAGCATAATCAACTGCTCGCTATTTTCCTCTACTTGTTTCCTTGTTTTGCAAACGCCATCTATGGAGCTTGGCTCGTATTTTTCCTGTGATGGTGAGAGAGCCGTGTTAGATAGTTCCTAGGTCTCCATCAGAACCAATCGTCGGTCTTTGTAGACGAGTTTGCTGCTTGCGCCATGGACTTTTCCATGACGCAAGCCATTTCTCTAATGTGGAATCGTACTATTATTCGAAAAGCTGCTCGACGACGAAGAAGACAAGAAGATAAGGATAGTTGTACAAGATTAGGCAGCGAATCGATTCCCCCCCCCCCCCCCCCCCCAAAAAAAAACGGCAGCGCGGCTCCGATCGGTTCCCAGATGCTTGAGCGATCGTCATTTTCTTACTCTTACCTTCATTCTTGATTTCGAATTTGATATCGTGTCTGAATCAACCAGTAACAGGACCGACCGAAGGAATCACTGCCAAAAACACACCTACGCCGGATCCAAATCGTGATGAAGACTTGAAAAAGTCTCTGCACGGTTAAGCCAGGTCTCTAGGAAAGATCAAATTGCATAAACAGCAATAGGCCACCCTCAGCACCCCGCACATTGAGCCTTGCATCTATGACGTTGGAAGGTGAGATAACCGGTTAAAAGCCACAGAATCTTGGGTTATGCAGCACGTCGTTGGAACCGGAATCTGACGAACACACAAACGACATACCAAAGAGACTGTCTCCTACTCTTCACATATAATACCAAAACGCTCTCCTCAGATGCCGATCTCGGTTTACTTGAAGCTGTAGACCGCATGAAATTCCATGTTACTTTATGATGAACAAAAATCGATAAAACCGACACATCCGAATAAACATTGGGATCTTGTTATCCGGGGAGAAAAGGTCCTGTCACGAAATGTCGGTGGCGCAGGCTTTCTCGTCCACCGATCAACACTGTCCAGCTCGTCGACTCGAACGGGTTCCATTCCCCTCTCGCATGGCCGTCTTCCGTTTTCAATAAACGCGACATTGGAGGATCACTATCACCAACTAATACCTTTCAACAGGTGCAGCTGACAAGTAAGCATTAGTTCCGCTCCACTATCAGTTGATGAAGTTATCTGCAGTGATAAATCGTATTACAAATTTGTTGTCGGAGACTTCAACGCTAGAATAGGAAAGGCCAACGACAACGAATATAGGATCGGAAAATTTGGAAAAGAAGAAAGAAATGAGAATGGCGCGCCTCTTCCGCAGAAACTCGTTTTTCCAGAAGAAAGTTGCCGTTCCAGGTTTTCTGACAGCACGACTCGCGCGGAGATTGACCATACTTTCACAACAGATGACGGTGCTTACTTGACACATCGGTTAGTCCCATCATTCTGTACTTCGCCATCTCCGCTCTAAGATTCGATTCAGTGGTAAGCTGAATAAGAATTCATGCCATAGACCGCGAAGAAAAAGTCTAGCCGTATATGATTAGAACATTTTGGACGAAGTCCTCTCCAAACGTGATTCGCAGATTAAGGAATATTCTACCGAAGATCACTACGAGCTGCTCGTCGAAGGACTTAAAGGTTGTGCATCGACCTCTTATTATACCCAAATGAAGAGGAGTTCAACAAGACACGATATCGCTAAAGCTGTTTAATGCCGCACTGCAGTGGATAATGATGTAACTCGACTGCGGTTAGAAAAGCATACGTATTGATAGAAAATTCTTATCAAATCCTTGTTTCGCTGACGACACCATCGTGTTCTCAGGAAGTACCAATAAAGCAGAGACAATGATCCATGAACTCAGCCGGCACACTCAATATCTAGCTGGAATACCAAGCTCTGATCTTCGACGTCTGTCACAACTTCGGGATCCAAGAGATAGCAAAACACGGATTGGGCGGCGATATAATAAGAAGACACGATAGATGGACTAAAAGGATCGTATAGCACCATTCGTAGGCATAAGCGACCTCTGACAGCTCTAAGTTATAGCTTTTTTTCTAAACGACTACCCGAATTTAATGAACTCTTGGAACATCTATAGTAAACAGAAGCGGGTAATGCGTAGACACCGTTGAATTCCCATTTCGTTGATGAAAGTGGCACCAAGGGCAAAAATAGATGTGCTATGATGTTACCAGGCAATTACAGAGCACAACGATCGGAAATACGTTCCTGAACGTGCCAGAAAGGTTACCACCAGATGCAGCTGTTGAGAGCACTACCTACTAGAATGTTTCAACAAACGTCATACAATGTGCACATTCCTGGTGTGATTTTCTGTGTGAAGACTGTTTATCGCGGACAAGATTGCAAGTTGTTATTTTTATTATTGTTGTTGTCATCAGTTGTTATATTAAGCCAAATGTAAGACATAAACAGATTCCTTTTTTGATACTAGATGACCCAACATCACATGTGTCACAATATGCAGATCGGAGCACTTCTCCTATTGGATTAGTTCCCTCGCTTACATGATCCAGAAGGTCTTCGAAATTATATGCCTATGACTTCGATTGCTGCTTCAGGATTTTTTGGCTTTCACCACGAACGTCGTTGAAAACTGATTGAGTCGATGCTCCCTGCAATCTTGCCAGCTATTCTGGGGCGTTTCCGTACTGATTGAAAGGATTCAGCTTGTCACGAACTACTCTGGTAACAATCTCCAGAGCTCTGAGGAATGGGAGGCTCGGTTAGCTCTGAAGGGCATCCAACCACCGCCTGGGTAGGTTAGGCCGTCTGCATATTGAACGGGACCATCTGTACTGTGTTACCCGCTTCACACACATACATATATATACGTACGCATATATATATGTACGTATTATGTATGTACATATATGTACGTATATACATGTATATATATGTAAAACACATATATACGTATATTATATGTACGTATATACATGTATTTACATATAATGTGTATACATATATGTAAACATATATATATATATATATATATAAAGGTCACTCAGCGTTACTAAACAGGCAGTCGAAAGCGCGATGCTTGGCGTATCACTCAAGTAAGGGAAAGGATCCGAAGCTCCAACCTGCTCCAACGCCAAAAACCAAAAATGCCATTCTGTATACCAAACTTTCGAAGATAAGGTGGGTGAGACACGTATATGCGTATGAACGACAGCAGATGGACAAGAGCCGTTAGTGACTGGATTCATCTGGATGTCAAAAGTACTGCGGAAGACCACTCACCAAATGCTCAGAGTTCTTCACGAATAACCAAGGAAAAAGTATGAAATTTAACGAGTCCCTAGAGCGAGCAGAACCCACCAGGACACTTCTGCACGCGACAGGGTAAAATGTAAGATTTACTGAGACCCGCTTGAGTGACATGATAATCAACAGAACTACAGTTGATACAGGTGATGTATATATACGTACATACATACATATATATATATATATATATACATAAATATATATATGTATACACATAGAGTGTATGCATAAATTGTAAGTTGTCAGTTAGAAAATAAAAGCAGAATCAAAATATAATAAGATTTGATAATTGTTCGAAATCCTGAATCGTACTGATATACACGTGTTTTGTAAGCACCAAACCTCTCTGAAAATGTCCCCTCAATAGTTTGCCATCTTCTCTTAGCTTAAAGCCTTCTCTAACTGTCGAATTCCAGCGTTCAAGAAATAACATTTCTACGCTCCTTCGTTGGCAATATCTTCTATACTATACTCTCCTCAAAAGAATTAGTCTGTGGGCGAAAATGACCCTTCCAATAGAAGTTTTAAGTAAATTACTAAATGCTGAATATAGCCTTTCAGAACAGAGATTTGGAGAGCCATGCCTGATATGACATCTATATCGAACAAACTATTGATAGAATACAAAAAGTGGGGTAAAAAATCTGTGTGGTCCAACACCAGGTGTGTACTCATTTTGGAACACGTGGTCCGATATGTGTTAAAGAATGTATTGGCTACGTTAAATCATCGCAACGTATGTGTAACCTCAATAAGGTTCAACTAGACGCAGCTGTGTAGTTCGTCGATCTTCCACAAGTTTTGAGCGCTTGAAACGCAAAATTTGGAACATGATCTCGATCCGTATATTTTTTACGGGATCAGCTTCAACGATATTTTCGCAAACATCGTAACCTAAGTGACGTTCGACGCAGGTCGTTAAGCTCGAAATTTCTGAACCACAACGGTAGCCTGAACTCTCGAAAAGTAGCTGATCAAAAAAGCTATTCACTCTACTGTATCGATAAAAAAAATTCATTGAAAAAAGCTGATGAGACGTTGCAAAGTACGGCTTCAAATTATTGAACAAGTATGGATGCAAATACGCAAAATGTAGATTTGCACTAAGTTTGTTTCTTTTCATTATTTAACCTAACCATATCACCAAAATTTTAAGAACTTCGCATTACCTTCTAACGATTTAATTCCCTATACTCCTATTAGTAATTTAATAAACAACGCAGATCAGACCTCCGAAAACGTTGCTACTGCTTGCTACTTTCTCCGACGCTTTTGTGCAAGATGTGGAAGAAGACGTGGTAGCACTTGTGCCAGGCAAAATTTCACCTCCAAGTCGATCCGGATGAGAGAGACCGACCACAAGCTGCAAGTGATATGCAGGTCTAACAGATTTTATGCCATGAAGGAAGTCAGCATTAAAGATGCTTCGCTAACCTGAGCAACAGGTACACTGCTACTATGGACATTTGCATCTGGGTTCGAATCAAGCCATGAAGCCAACTTGCTTAACGTTGGCCATTTCGACGCAGGAAGCAAAGCGCCAGTCAACCTAAAGCTGAATATAATAGCTCCAATAACCGTATAACCTTCTGCAGCAACCATGTAGTAATATAATAGTGAGAAATTTTTGAAATATTGTTAGGAATAATGTAAAAAGAAACCTGTTGAAGACAGAAATTGGTCCGTCACCACTGGAGGCTCCACTTGTCCCGGCACTTGATGTCTTTTTGGGGATTTCTCCAGGTTCCAACTGTGGGCTAGTAGTTGGCTTCGGGGTACATGTCGTCGGTGTTAACGAATTTACTGCCTTACTGCTCGGCGCCTGAGTTGTGGCTGTCACCAGAGTTGACGTCGTGGTCACAGGTTTGGAGGGAAGACATGAAGTTACTGCTGCACCTAATGATTTCGGAGTGGATGGCTTCGGTGTCGATGGTGCAGAAGGTTTTGCGCTTGACGGTGTAAAATCAACGCTGGTACTTCCTCCCACTGGTGCAGGTACAGAAACTGACGACGGCTCTTTTCCTGTGTACGAGTATAACATTAACGATTAATGTATAATGATGCAGAGAAAATTTGATACTTTCTTTTGACATAAATCTCCATAAAAAATAGAAACATACCTAAACTGGCAAGATCAAGTATGTACATAGGATGCGAAGTAAGCCAAGCGCTAAGATGTTTCAACTTTGGCGCTGATTCGCCTAATAACCGCTCTTTTGTTTGTGTGTTTTGAACAGGGATCCTTGTGTCTGAAAACAAAACGTAATAGATTGGTTGTATAAACAAGGTGTGTAACAGCGGAGTACAATGAGACGATTCGTCACCAATTTAATTCACCCAGTGGATCAATTCACTCAGGTCAATGAAATGGTTACGAGTTCGACGTTAAGTTATGGAACACGGACTATTATGGTTGTTATATCTACGCTGCGTTCCTAACGCTGTGTATATTTTGTAAAGAGGCATGCTTTGTAATCGAGATTGCTGTACACACAGATATAACTTGTCTTATCGCAACTACTTTTTAACTACTGACTTCCAACAACGAAACCTAAAAGCAAATTGTACCACAAATATACGCTGTCTCCAAAATTTCAGTGTAATAAATTGTCACTACCTACAACTTTTGTAACGAGAACACCAAAAAATTCTGAGCTTAACTTCAACTTTCTCAACAGGGCACATCTGCATCCGCGGTGGCATAACTTCATAAAAACAGGACTACTATGGCAATTCTGTGAAATTTATGGGCGATGGTCTTTGGTTTTGCTCCAACTTCTACGATATTAGAAAATTGAAATACAACTTATTTATAAAGCTTACTACGAACAAAATAATGCGAAGCAAAAAGAGCAAGTTTATAGAGAAGGATAAACTAAACATACCGGGTGGTAAACTAGCCAAGATAATAAGTTCGTTTAATCCTAATTGTCCCATAGCAGTCGAATGTTGTTGTGAAGTCGACGGTACTGAACTTGTTGATGTTGAAGGTACTGGTGAGGACGACGAAGTGGTACTAGGCTCGGTCTAAAAATGGGAATAGAAGGCAAAGACATCTCAGGTAGACTACTCACAATAGATTTTTGGAGCACTTTTGGTTTCAAAGGACACAATTCAGGACTATTCATACAACTACAACAATTACCACAGACTTCTAATTAAATCTACACCCTAGTTAGATGAAGAAACGAATATGTGCAACGAAATAGTCCCGTAGGCATCACGATAACTACTTTTCAAAGGTAATTAAGTAAGTCACGGGGCAATTAAAACATGTGCTGATGACCTACCGCTTTTTTTGTTAAATTAAGCGCATCGGCGTCCGCACAGGCAGAACCCGATGCAGCATTTGCCAGAAGAGCAGTTGCAGCATGAGAAGATGCAGTTGCTGCGGCAGTCGACGTACTGGTGGTGGCTGAAGCTCCAGCATTGCTAGCACTAACTGCGCTTCCAGATGCACCAGCTGCAACTTATAGTGAGCTCGAAAAATTATGATGTTACATAAATTCTAAAGGCTGTTCAAATACTTAGTCCTACTGCCTCAGTTTTACGCTATTATCCTAATCAATTCATAACTCTTTTTAAAATTCACCAACATTATGAAGATACTGCGAAATACCCGCGAGCGACTTTCTCTTAACCTCGGGATTGATTGATAATTCGATGTCTTTCTTCAATAAGCAGACACGAGGTTGTTATTAAAGGATTTATTAGGATACAATAGCTGACGTTTCGGCGGTTTCGCTTTCTTCAGAGCCGTTTATTTGTTGTAAGTATTTAAGTTAGTTGACGGATAGCCGCACAGAGTAATATGTGGGCGAGGACTGCTATCCACCAACTAACTTAGATACTTACAACAAATAAACGGCTCTGAAGAAGACGAAACCGCCGAAACATTAGCTATTGTATCTTAATAAATCCAATAATAACAACCTCGTGTCTGCTTATTGAAGAAAAACACCAGATAATGCGAAAGTTGATGAAGCACTATTTTCAGAAATTAGATCAGACTTTTTTATTTTTATACGACCTGTTTTCACGTCCATAGTGCAGATCCAAGCACTTCTCACATCCAATTCGTTTCGTCTATTCCATCAACCACGAAAGTCTTCCAACTTCTATGTGTACTTTAGGCTGCTGCTTGAAGATTTTCATTTCATTTTGAATGTCGTAGAATGCTGGCCAAGTGGATTCTGCGTGGAGTCCTTAGATAGACGGGCTGGAGAGTTCCCAACTTAATTGCAGGAAGTTACGGACAAGTCCGGCAGCAATGAATGACAGGTTTGGTGAGCTTGGGGCGAGATCGGGCCACCACCGCGATCGTGATAATCGGTATCACTACTGCGCTATCGGCTCTCTGTAGATCGTACCACATTTAATATACGCCACTGAAGACAAAGTCCACAAATAGTCCTCAAGAAAAATGAGTTTAAAAAAGAATAAAAATTAATAGTCTTATGCTCCATTGTAATTAACATTCGAGAACAACGTACAACGTATGATTTAATGCAAACTAACCAGCCATTGCAAATAGAGACCCCAAAAGCTGTGCAGCTGCGGCGTTATTTCCCATGAGCTGAGGCATGAACATAGCAGACTGAAGCATAGCTGCAGCTAAGGGAAGATCGCCCATCTGCGACAACATCGACTGCTGCATTAAAGCTCGCATTTTCTGTGCATCTGTATCAACAGCACGTTTTCGACCACGGCGCACCTACAGCAGATAATTTCTTAGTGGTTTCAATATTGCTGAAAAAAATGCTAAAAACTCAGGAAATTTTTGCAGACGGCAGTTTACTGCGTGGTAAAACGGAGATGCAGAAAAAACAAAAGCGTATTAAGTCTATTTTCGGTTAAAAATCGAACAAATGTTTTTTTTTAAAAATAATAGTTTTTGGTGGTGATCAAAATTTCTGAGGAATGCGCCATGAATTCGACTTCATGAAGCATCGTCGAGGCATTAAATACATGTCTGATCTATCCAGTGACTTGAGGCCGCCAAACAAATCTGGCACCACTTTGCCTAGCCCACGAATATGGATGTCTTGGTGGGCCTGGGGAACGGATTGAACAAGAGATCGATATAGTGTGCATTGCGAAGCACCTGTGACCACTGCACTATTCCAAACATAGATTAAATTACAACCATAAAGCTGCTGACGTATGAGCAAAACTCGAATCCTCAGTTGAGCTTCGAACATGTGATAACCCTTACCGGGGTCTCATGTGATATCCCGCTATACCAACTGACACCCTTGCTTCGCCTTTCTCAGCTGTTTTTTCTTACTTCGTAAGATAAGGAGAAAAGACAAGACAAAATCAGTTTTTATATAGAATCGGAGAAGCTGCGCATAGAAAACTGCACCACCGTATTACACAACGGCAAAAATGTCTAAACAATACAGTACTGTCTGGAGGCAGTCATTGATGCTGGTGGTCGGCTCCGTAACTTGAGCTCGGCTCCTTGAGAACCAACCGTCTCTACACAATGACAAAGATAGTAAACCACCTCTTTATTTCATGAAAATTGGTTTCGCTTGAGCCCTCTATACTGCATTGGATTGTAATTCGAAGGAATCCAGACCAACAGACTACGTACACACACTAACATCATACTTCAAAGCGTTACAAGATACCATCCTCGGAATTTTTGTAGATAGAAGATGATTATCGAAAGAATTAGCGACTAAGAGGTTCTCGCTGAACATAACAGAGTTTTTCATGAAGTGTACAATTATTTACTCCTACTATTATGTACAAGAGAATAACAGTGGCGATGCTAACGATTTCCCTGCGTAACAATGAAAATCCTAAAGGAACCTATGATGCTTTTCATGGCCTTCGATTAAAAGACAGGTTTGGTTTTCCTTCGAAACATAAAACATAATTACAACAACGGGAAGCAAACTGTGAAACACAAATAGGCAGCACATAAGAGTTAATAAAAACCAAGATGTTTGCCAAGAAAAAAAATAGCACCTGTTGTTGTGCACGAGCTCTTTCTTCTGCATCACTGTCATCCACACTGTCCGTAGTAGCCGTTCCGTTCCATTTACCAGTTTCTACCGTTGTGCACACCTCAATTACACGGCGTAGTAATGTCTTTTCGGTTGGTCGGATAATCTGGAATCACATCGTTTTGACACTTTATTGACGGTTTCAATTCTGTTATCCAGTGTCATCTTTCACTTATACCTTTTGAAATGAAGCCTTCTGCAAAATATTCGCCGAAATATTATCGATACCATGTTGATCGCAAACAGATATTAACTCTTTATCGTGCTGAGTGGTCCACCCAGATGGCATAGCTTCTGCCGAACATAACTTTAACATCGGGGTTACTTTTTCCAAACCAGCAGCTAAGGCGTGCACCTATAAATTACGGAGCTGATTATCATGTTAAGATATAACGTGTGAAATAACTTCAGCTAGGTAAAAATATGAGAAGAAATAGACAAAGACCAAGTGTTTAACAATTTCCCACTTTTCTCGTTAAATGCAGTCGATTCATTAGTTTCTGCGCTTTCCTGGAAGTCATCGCATCTACCGAAAGAGCTCGCTTAGTGTCTAGAGCGGATAGCTCGCCTCCTTGCGCCTATAAAACGAAACGTTTTTGTGGAAAATCTCCTGTTGACAAGATTATTAGACAAGCAGGAAACCTAACATAGAATTCTAAATAAAATAATAGATATAATAATAATAATAAACAATAATAAAATGACAATATACATCAATTCTACTTATTAGAAAGTAGGAAAGTATGTCAAAAAAAAAGAACTTCTAACAAGTAATGAACGAAATTTCCGAACAGTGCCGCCATTTCTTTAATGGTAGAAGAAGAATATGATGATCTCATAGTGTTCTCTATAAGTGAAACAAGGATTTAAAGCACAGAGACTTAGCTTGATCTATTCAAAACTTGCTAACACGCTAAACATATTGTATCACTCGCTGTCCTGTTAATCGTCGAATGATTTGAGCGGGAGCCTGTAAACTTTCCAGTTCTCCCTCTTCGAACGCAACAGTAGTCCAGTTGATTCTACTCGCACTACAAACTTTAAAAAGTTTAATTTAAAATCATATTTTTCCTCTAGGGTTTTTGCGAAATTCTTTCACTATCAGGTCGACAGCAATCCTCATTTGCGTTTGACATTCCTAGGAATCTAGGAAAAACGTAAAAATGATGAATAATTCACTCAGCGTTATCGAACATGCAGTAGGAAGGACGACGCTGGTATCCCGTATCAAGCAACTGAGAGAGAAGATCCAATGTTTCAAGTTATACCAACGATCAAAAATCAGAGACGCTGTTCTACACACTAAAATCTCGAGAATCAGATGGGCCCGACAAGGAATGCGTCTTAACGACAACTGAAGAAAAACAGTCGTTAGTACGCTCCATACTACTTGAAACGGTGACAAAACTAGTACAAATTCAGGCGTCTGTTAGAGCACTACGCACATATCTAGGCCTTGAGCAGTGCCTTGGCTCTACAAATAGATTAAAGGTCCAAATTTGATTTTGGAATTTCAGAACGCACGAAATAACTATATCTGTTAAAACGAATAATAGAGGAATAGACTTCAGTTGGTAACATATTTGGAAAAGTGGATGATCCAACAGTGTAAAGTATGGACAGTGTTCAATTGAGAAGTTAAACGCTGCTTTTTCTTCGTTTTCTTTTCTTGAAATTTTCAACTGATGCTCTCTTAACAGTTGTTCAGAAATAATTTCAGTAACTGCATTTTCTCTAAGACAGAAGACATACGAAGCATTTTCACAATATCTCTTCAGTTTAATATAGAACACGTTGCAGCCAAAGAAGGATATAGACTGAACAAAGAGGATGCGATCAAATGTTCCATGTGTCGCAAGCGATGAGACGACCATGTGAAAGAATGTTGTGGAAGCCCACCCAAGTCTACGAGCAAATCCTTATTTTAGCTCTACGATAAAACAACAAACGATTCGAGAGGTAGCAAAAATACTTAGTTTTAATGCCTTTTTTAAACATGTTATTAATAAACCACTAAGTCAACCAACTATTCAACCACTTCGAACTGATGGAAAAAAAACTTGGGACGGTCAGCAAAGTCGATGGTGGGCGTGCCACTTTTTTCTTTTGAAAAGTGTGATTCCATCGATCCGGGGAGTTACGAATGTACTACGAGCTACGGATAAAGAATGCTTTATCATACCTACGTTAAGTAACCACATCTTTGGCGATTGAGAAAAAAATTTAATATCGATATGGAAATTGAATTCTTTATATTGTTATTAGATTATTGAACAGGTCATGCATTCTCTAATTATTTGAGAAAAGGTTTAAGTAGTGGGAATTTCACTCTTTTAAAAACTTGCAAAAATACACTTGGATCATTGGATCATGATCTTTGCTATTCTTTTCCTATAGATAGAACACGGCACTACTCATTGTAAAGATAAATAAGGTCATCGAAAAAAAAAACAGCGCATACGTCAACAACCAAAAGTATTTCGAAAAAAAAATGGGCCGATGAAACGAGAATTAAAGACCTATAGAAAGAAACTGAAGGTTTCATCTTTGGGGTCGATGAGGCCGCAACAACTATATACCTACCTTGGTGCACATAGCCAAAATGCAATACAGATGTTCCTGCATCTCCTCATCGCTTTTCTTCTCCAGTAATGGTGAAAATGCTCGGAAAGCATCCCAGTCAATCATCGTTGGATCGTTTCTCTTGTCTTTCATACCGAACGATCGCAAAACACGCATGTATTCCTGCTCCTCTCGTCGACTCCACCTACACTTCTTCTCTCTATGTTTAGTTTCGTATATTTTGAAAACACAACTATTTAGTTCAATACTTGCAGAAATACAGTAACTCACAACATCTCTAAACCAAACCTTAATTTTTCGTAAACAGGATCAGTGATATTTCTTTGACTGACAGCAATGAGCCTTCTGAAACGTGAAGATACCTCAGCAACACCAAAGAACGTTTCCGGCAAACTTGTCTTGCTCGAAAAGCACAGAGTTTCATCAGCACGCATGTTGTCCACATTATCAAGTCCTATTTAGGAAAAAAGTGTAAAATGAAAGGAAGATTGACTATTACTTAAAATCCGTTCACTACTCTAAAAGTACCATGTTTGTAGATACCAATCAGCAAACATTTGTCGCAATCTATATCCCATCCATCGCACATGGGCTCAACCAACGTTGGTACAGTTATGTCTATAGATGACCAGTGCGCTCCAGCTTCGATCGCAGCTGCTTTAGTGCCGATAATCGACTAAACACCAATTTCCTTAACCAGAATAAAAACTGCAACCTCAATGGGATAGTGCCATTTTATTCAATCAGCTATAATTGTCTATTTCCACAAGCTCTACTAGATTCTCGGTTAGCTACGCTATATTATGAGGCATTCCACATCAAGACTTAATTCGTACATCTTCTTACCTTCTGCAAATGTCGTAGTTGGTCGATTTTCACCAGTAATTTGTTCGCATGACGATGAACATGTCGTTGAAATGACGCATCCAAAACGAAATTCGGCGGATTGAATTCCGGAAGAGCCGCCCAGCCCTATAATCTCAGATGACAGATGGTTTACAAAGTGCAGAAACACCAATTATGATACCATACGTACCGTAATGCGAACTTTAAATCCTAAACTATGTACCTGGTGATAAACGGACTGTGACCCTTTGGCTTCTTTTGCATTCTTGGCACCCTGAGGAGCTATTAGTTGCCAAACGACTTGTCTAATCCGCTCATCTCCACGATATTCCCTCACACAATGTAAAAGTAATGTACGTGCCATGTGAGCGATATCCATCTCCGACACCTGTGTTCCCAAGAGATAAATTAAAACCTTATTTTTCTTTCATAAACAGACCTTTCGAGCTAGTTCTCAAACATGATGTTTTTCTATTTATTAGATCACATATCAACTGAGCCCTACCTCGAGATCTCCATTTTTTTTCATTTCAGCCCATCGACCCCATCCCCAGGACGCTAATACCTTCTCCACCTGAAATAGAAGAAAATAATTTCCGTGAAGGTAACCTATAACTATCGCTGAAAATGAAGTTGGATCCTCTTAGAGATAAGATAAGTAAAGATAAAGCGCTTGATAAAATTTAAAAGACATTCAAAGAGGGATTCATTTATCCACTCAGATTTCAAAAATCTAGCATGAAGATATGGGACAATTACTTAATGACATGAAATTCATTTCTAAGATTAAAATTGCTCGATTAATCGAATACTCATAATCACCTTGAAGTACTCGCTCTTGTTAAAGGCTAACTCGTCTGGACGATAATTTATATAATCACCGTCCTCATCCTCACCACGTCTGCGTTTACGACCAGCATTCTGAGTGTTGGCACCTGAGAATGACATCTTCAGGTCAACAAATATGTCTAGAATATGACAGATAAAAAAAAGTGCACATACCTTGCGCTACACCACGCTTTCTCCCTTTACCCAACTCGTCGCTGCCATCTGAATCTTCCCCTTCTTTCAAAGAGTTTTCTTCGAAACTAAAATTGAGAAACAAACATTAACCAAGAACACTGGTAAATTAAGCATAATAAAACTACCGCTTTGTGCGTTTTCGAGGCTCTTGCATTATGAGATCATTACAATCGGGAGTCGCAGTGGCCTTTTCAATATCCACCTAAACAAGAGTTGGTGAACATACTGAATCAAGAACAGCTTCCAGTATTGGAAATAAGTGTACTTGCGCCTTCTCGGCCCACTTAGTCCAAAAATTAGGATCATCAATGTCAATGTCATCGCCGCGATTATTTGTAGAGTTGAAAGCAGCTTTGGCAAACAGCGAACCCTGAACATACAAGATTAGTATAAGGACGAAACCAATAAAATCTGAGCAAAAAATTTTAGGTGGCTGCCTAAACCAACTGAAAACGGTTTCTTCCTATCATTCCTGTCCCACAATAATTCAGAAAACTTCAATTTCCGAAAATTATCCACTTCTTAATAACGAGAGAAATTTCCACGCGTCGGAAGGACGACAACGGCATAAATTTACTCTGGTGGAGATTCAGTTGTCACTGATATCTACCGCAAGTCAAAAATTTAGTTGAGAAAAACCCACTAATTTTAGAATTTCTCCAAGTACAACTTCCATCCCACGATACTAAACAGCGGAGCGCTACCGGTAATGACGTGACAACATGTAAATGAGGTTCTAACATCTTTACTCCCATATTTCTTATTTTACACGACCAGACAACGGGAATTACGAGGACTCCATGATTCATTTCCTCGCATCCATCATTCACAAAAGTCTTCAGCTTTGCGTATATTTAGGTGGTGCTTAAGAATTCTTGACCTTATTTTGTTCGTATTTTTTTTTGAGCAAACGCGAGGTGTTATTGTTCTTTGTTCACGATTAAGCTGACGTTTCGGCGAATTTCGCCTTCTTCAGAGCCTGGAAAGGCACGCTAGGCACGCATAGGACCCAGAGACATAACGGGGATGACTTCGAAGTATGTGTCACGATCCTCGCACGCGAATCGAGAACACAGGCGCGAAAAACCCTCGAGGCACTCTGGATTAATTCCAGAAATCCGAAAATGAACCGCAGGGAAGAATGCCTCATTATCACGCGTGATATAGGGCAGTATATAAAACTGCTTTTCTGATGTGAGGGGCACATTATACTTCCACGTGATTTCTGTGCGGTTGGTCTCTACGTGACATACTTAGCGGAGACCTCATAGAAAGCGGTGAGTGTGCAAAGCTGTGTTCAAAGTGATTGAAATCTTGGTTTGGGGTTTCTTTGTTTGGTTATGGAGGCGTCTGGCCGAGTGAGTTGCTATCAACTTGACCTTTCCAGGCTCTGAAGAAGGCGAAATTCGCCGAAACGTCAGCTTAATCGTGAACAAAGAACAATAACACCTCGCGTTTGCTCAAAAAAAAAGTACGAACAAAATCACTTGATCAATGCCGAGGTTAATAGAAAGTCGGTCGTGGCAGTTCTTGACCTTATTTTTGAACGTCGTTGAATGCTAGTCGAATCCATTCCCTCCAAAGCCCTGGGAGAGCTGTAACGGGGCGTTTCCGTATCTTCACCACAGGCAACAGTCGTAAGCCTTTGTGGATAAGAGGGAGGGAGTTCATTCCAGACATCTCTGGTACCAATTCCTCAAATCCGAAGAGATGAAGGGCCTGGTAAGCCCAGGTTGACGTCTAATCAGCGTTTTGCCCATACTGAACGACATCAATAACCATTCCGGCAACCGCCCCCTCCCCCCTTTGTTAACGTAGTTCCCAAAACTATGAATGTAGATAATTTGGCACACCTTTTGGCCCGGTTCTAGCGTTATAGTGGTAGTTCGCCTTTGAAGGATAGTTTCAATATCCTCTTCACTGAATTTGCTGCCTTCGTCGACATTCTCGTCCATGATGGAGCCATATGCTCCCTGAACATACCAAAGAGCTGATTTGCTCAAACAAACAAACCAAATAAAGTCAATCAAACTGTGAATATCAAAAGAACTTTTTTCAAGAGTTCTTCTACATCCTTCTTGCTCAAGGATGTACTGCTCTCTTTGAGCGCTGTTGTCGACTGCAGAACAGCCTTGTCCAGACCGAGTTTGAGCGATGCCTTAAAAAACCATTTCTTCTCGCATCATAAATAATTTTTTCTCACCTAGACGGGATATGAGGCATAGAGGCTGTACGTTAAACACATAAAGATGAAAGAGAAAAAGAGGAAATAATAAACCTTATCAAACATTTCCCTCTCGTATGTGTTTGCAGTCACTAATCTATACACTTTAACCATTTTCGTTTGGCCAATCCGATGACACCTAAAGTTGGAACAGCGTTAAATCAAACGCAACGCATGTCCAGAAAAAATTCATATGCAAGGTACTGCTTTTTTCTCACAGAAAGCAATAAAGTCACTAACCTTGCCTGCGCCTGCAGATCGTTCTGAGGGTTCCAGTCCGAGTCGAAAATGATGACAGTATCAGCAGCAGTTAGATTAATTCCTAACCCGCCAGCGCGGGTACACAAAAGAAATACAAAGCGGTCCGAATCTAAACACAAAAACAGACATAAAAGACAAAAAAAAATCGAAGCAGCGATCGAAAACACCTTTTTTGGAAAACCGATCAATTGAAGCTTGGCGCATATCACCACGAACGTTCCCATCGATTCTTTCAAATGGATAGTTCATGTTTACAAGGAATTCTTCAAGAAGATCTAACACTCTAACCATTTGCGAGAAAATAAGGACCTAAATGAACATATGGTGTAGTAACAAGAAGAAAACCAGTAAAAACAGCAAAAACAAAGCGTTATTATCCAACCTTATGCCCATCATTTCTTAGTTTTGGCAGCAGCTTTTCAATGAGAACCACTTTACCAGAAGCTTGCACTAAAGCTTTATGTGATAATGTCTCTTCATCCCACTCTGGATGCAGTAATTTTAACTCCGATAAAATAGTTTCCTCAGCACCCTAAATGAAGCACAACAATGTTACCTGCTATAAAAATAATACGAAAAAGGAAATAGTTCTGTATGAAAATTTCACATGAATACTGCTTCCTGATTAATTTTTAAAAATGAATTTTTACCAAAGAATTCCGTTTCGGTTTTATTTTGTTGGTTTTTACTTGAGACCGCTACTAGCTAGCCTACACTAGGATACTCTGTTGTATACCTATTCAAAAAGAGTTTGGAAATTGCACCAAAATTGGGTTACGACCATAAATCATCAAGAAAGAGAAAGGAAGTTAAATACTTAAACTATACACATTCTAAAACCGCTCAACATAATACTAAATACAGTTAAATCGAACCTGGATCAAGAAAGGATGATTACAGCATTTACGCAACTCCATCATTACGTTCATGAGTGATGGCGCCGATGTACCTACAAAAACAGCTTGCGAAATTTGGAATGAAAAAGACGTTAACGATATCTCTTGTAGGGAATCCCTCCCCAAAACACCTACTCAAGAAACAAGTCTGACCGGTAGTTTAAGTTTGAAGTGCTGCGACATAAGTTTTCCTATTCTTCTACAAGGGGACGAAGATCCACCTATGTGAATGACATCAACTAATCTTCAGCCCTCTATTTCGCCAAAGAGGTTTCTCGCTGTTCTTTGTGCAAATGATAACTTATCCACAATTGCTATTAAACAAGACATCGGCCGAAAAGAACTATATTCTGCCTCTTATATTTTGCAACAAAATTGTACTTTGCGCGAGACCGCCACTAGTAATGAGGATACCATAATATCTCCTACAGCAGGAATTTTTGATTGTCGCAAGATCATTAAGCTGTTTTGAAGCATGGAGAGTGATCTCACGAGACTATTGGCAACAGGAACCTCCCTCTTCATGGAATAGTAAAACCTCGACTTAATTCATAGAAATAAAATACCTTTACAAAGATGTGTGAAGTTCCTCTCAAGAATGGCCCGATAGAACTTCTTTTGTGTATCCGAAAGTTGCACCTGTAAAAACCAGGATTACGTGCGTCGACAAGATATTAAACAAAAGCAAGGCAGAAGCAACTCGATCTGGTAAACCGCATACTAAAATGAGGACAGTAAAACGAACCTCAATGATGGTCTCCTCTTTTGGTTGAAGTGATTTCTCAACGTCTTCCTTCAGACGACGTAGCATCATCGGTTTCAAAATTTCTTGTAACTTCTGCACTTGTTCGTCTGATTGACATTGCCCAAACTGCTCAAGGAATGCAGCTGAAATATATATATATATATATATATATACAACTATTTACAGCATACATAGCACAGATACACATGCATATGTATAGACATTCACGTACAAATATATATATATATATATATATGTATATATACAGATATTCTATCAATCCAATACGTACGCATCTATATATATCCAGATACCTACACATATACATATACTATGCATATATGTGCATGTATGTATACCTATATGGAAGCACGCATACGTAGGATGACTGAAAAGTAATTTATTATGTAACTCCTTCAATATTTTTTAAGATGACCCATGTCCATATCTACAAGGAGAATCATAGTACTCTTTGCGTTCCATTCGTTACCTCGTATTCGTCATCCACGAAGGTATTCGAATTTTTAAGGTGGGAGATCAGCTGGTGCTTGATTTCACATGAATTTCAAAGTAGGAAGTTCTTCTTCAATCATTTATATATATATATGCATATATATACATGTGTATATATGTCTATACATATGTATACATAGAGAGAAAGAGAAGAGGAGAGGAGAATCAAAGCAATCTAACAGACGTTGAAGTTAATACCTGAGCTACTGAATTGTTGGGGATGCAGAAAATTGAGTAATGAGAACAGCTCCTCAATGTTATTCTGTAATGGAGTTCCCGTAAGTAAAACACGGTGCTCCATACGCAAAGCATGTAGCCCTAAAATGATATTATTGAGCAGGCCTAGAATGCAATACTATAATAAATCTTTATTAACATATGTGCAGGAATGGACTACATCGTAACCACACATCTCTGCCCCCTTCGACAAAATCCCGCTTCTTTAACTCGCGATGATTCCTAATTTCGATTTATTGCGGTGCGGACAACACATAACTTTTCAGTAAGTTAACTGTGACGCCTATCAATCTCATATCGGCAATTCCGGCAGTTTTTATGCTGCTCTGCTCCACTTTATCATGATTTTCGTTCTATACGCAGTTGCTTTTCTGTATTTTTAGAAAATTCCAGCGCTTCTCTTACTCTGTTTATATTCCGTGCATGCCAAATGCTCTTCTATACACCCTCCTGCTTTTGGTTCACATGCAACTCTTGCATATGATGAAGGAAAACACTCCTCCACTGCGCAATCCTAGCGTTGGTAGCATCTGGTAAGGTGGTATAAGTTGTCCAAGGAATATTAGAACGTTTATCTTGTAAATTTGATATGCTCTCCCTTCCATATAATACCAAAAGTTACCATAGCGACTGAAAATTGTGCCTCTTCTCTGGTTTCACTCTCTATGCCGCACACTCTCTTCAACAACAATAGTATTTCACCAGAAAATGAGAAATTAGTGAGAAACTGTCGAGAAGATAGTCTCCGATGTATGGACCACATCCGCTATACCATCTGCGTTACACAAGCTGCCGATTGATAACAAGAGGTCTAGAATAAAACCTCTGTGCCCCAAAACAGCCCACGGAAAGGAAACGAAACCTATAGGTCTCATCCCGGCCACTGATGCAACTTCATTATGACGCCTTATAGAGGTCACTTTTCTAGTAAGTGTTAATCGCTTTGTCGTTCGAAATACGAGCCACTACACCAAAAATAATGTAAAGCCTCTTTTACAAGTATTAAAACTGAATATATGTTTAAATCAAAGCTTCAAGACACGACATAACCAACCTCCTGTCAATAATTTGCAATTTCTATTTTTCAGTCGATGAGCTTCATCAATTACACAGACTCTGAATGGGATCTTCCGCAAGAATTCGCAATCCGTCACAACCATTTCAAACGTAGTGATCAATGCATCTAGCTTTACCAGATTTTTCCTCCACAACTGAAAATGTGCTTCTCTGACGAGAACTCTTCATATTGAAGTTCCCACAACAAAAGAAAAATAGTACGGATAAAAACATTCCAACCTTATTTCCTGCCGAATGATGTTTAGCATAATATATTTCATACTGCTGAATAACGTCACGACTATGTTGACTCCCATGATAAACCACAGCGTTCATATCTGTCCACGTTTCGAATTCTCGAACCCAATTATGGATTGTGGATAATGGCACGACAATTAAAAATGGACCATGGATTCCATACCTGAAATTCTACTTTTTCTTAATGTCAACCGTTTAGAATAAAAGGATGATAAAAGAATGTGAACAACAACTGAATGACGAAATAAATCTTCTCATCAATGTTAATGGAGATCTTGATATATGAGAAAGAGGGTACATAGCAGATTTCGAAGCTTCAAAACAAAATTATATTCTTTATTCTCAATGCCTCCTAACGCTTTACCGTCACATCGTGGTTAGGAAGTGTTCCGGGTCTCGGACTGCGATATACAGCAGTGGGATTCATCCTCCTGCAGGGTCTCCGAAGCTGAGAAGGAATATGGCGTTTTCCATCAGGAAGCCCAGCTAACAGTAAACCAGTACCAGGATCCACCACCGTCCTGGTATCAAACTAGTCGAATGATGGGGAACGTCTTTCTGACCCACTAGGGCGGCGAATGCCTGTAGTGGTGATGATCTGAGGCAGGTTTTTGTCAGGCTGACCTCGAGAACCCAGGAAAATACAACGGCTAAACCAGCAAAACTTCGAAAAATGAAAAAGATGCTGGGGTCTGCACAACCAGTCCAAGTATCTACCGACCTTCTATAAACCACGGCATAGATAGTTGATATATTTGTTTACATGATCTTATAAATTGATCATCTTAAGCTGATGAGAGGTTGGTATAGGTCTTCGTTGTCGTTTTTGTTGGTGTTGTTGGTCAATGGCTGACGTTTCGGCATTTCGCCTTCTTCAGAGCCTGGACGTATTTTATACAAGAATACCTAATTATTCGGTAGAAAAAAAAGCCTAAAGTAATAATGAAGATCAAACTTTTAAATAGAAGCCATTTTGAACAGAAGGCTACTCACCGTGATGTTACGTGTGGGACTGGCCCACATGTAGTTCACGTGGGGTCGTAATCAGGACACACTCAGGAGTCAAAATATCATTTTGAAATAGGACGCCAGGTCACGTGTGATAATGAGGCATTCGTCTTTCCGGTTCATCTTTGAATTTTCGAAATTTATCCAAAACGTCTCAAGAGTTTTGAGCGTTGATGTTTTCGATTCCTGCGCTAGGATCTGCACAGTCACTTCAAAATCATTGCCATTGCGTTTTTGTGCCCTATGCGTACCTAGAGGAGTGTTTTGACGAATTTTAACTTTCCCATCTAAATGCGTCGTTTTCTTGTTCAGCAATCGCGAGGTTTTTAAACAGCATACATTTACTTCCATAGGAAAACAATACAATACAACGCTAGCTGACGTTTCGGCAGTATCGTCTTCTTCAGAGCCTGGAAGGGTATACTGATATACAATCTACTAGGCCAAACGCGTCACTAACACTTACAAAAAGACGAAAAACTCTTCGGAAAAACATGATCAACAACTACCCATCTAAGGTTCTTTTATTCGGACACAAAGTGGTCGACCCGTTTTCCTAGTATATTCCTCACCGTATGCTTAAAACGAAATCAAGTATATTATACCTGAGGCCATGCAATCCCCTTCTCTCCCGTTAGGACAGATCATTAAGTTTTCTGAGCTGCACAAACGATCATGGAGACGGTTGCGAACTAACCGAACTAACTGACGGCGTAGGGTATTGGGTGGGATGTCAATCATCGTTATATAATTTTCAAGACCACTTTTAATAATCTCTTAATAGCGCAACCTACTAGTATATTTTTACTACTTGGCTTACGATACCGCTTTGTTATATAACTACTTAATAAGAACTTTATTTTGGTGTTTAAGAATGGAAGCCAGTTCTCGGTTGGTTTTTCTCGCATAAATTTTATATACTGACTGTCGGTTCGACAATTCAAAGCATTCATCCATTTGTTCTTGTGTAGAACAGACGATGAAGCAGTCGTCTATGTATCGATTGTAGAGTAATGGTCAGTGATCAGGAACTTGAGCTTCCACCTTGGACATGAAAGCGATGGCAAGGCTTGGTGATAAACGCTGCCCCCTGGCAGGCTCTTTAACTTGCGCAAAATATTTTCCAGGTCACCTAATAATTGAACAACTAGAACACTGTCTTAAGAGAGTCATTAGTTGCACAATCGACAAGTCGTACATTTTTACTTCCTCTTAGTGCTCTATGAGCAGCTCGAGAATGGCTTACGCTGCAGAGTCATTCGACATGTTGGTTTAAAGTGAAGTAACACCGAATGACTCCATTACATGCTTGCTGTTTGATTGCGCGCAACGTAGGTGGTCTAGAAATATTTTGGTGTTGGGTAAATGGGTTGAAATGAATTTTAGCAACTGGGTCAGGATAAAGTTTAGGAACTACGCTATTCTATTCGTTCACCCACTTATACAGATGATGATTAATCTTACATTAAATGAAGATGGATCGATGGACGCAAGGTCATCAGTAGAAATAAGCTTATGTGTCTTAATAAGCAAGTATAGGACAGGATATACTAGATAGTCGTTCTGAAGTGGAGGAATAACTGATGGCTCTAAACGCGTTGCATTTGTTGTATTGACCCACTTTATATTTAACCATCGGTATTGACTTCTATAATCCTTTTCAGAGGATGCTCCATAGAGAGAAACATCGTTAAGATGCTCCTCTGTTATTCTAACGTCCAACTGAATAGGAATAACTATAAATTCTCCACCTTTATCATTAATAGAAAATGCCAGAGATTTTAAATTTAAGAGCTCTCTAATCTGGCGCATACCACAAATATATTAGTTCACTACCTCTCCTCTCATCCACCACACATGAAAAAAGCACCTATCAAAAACATGTACCGTACGGCTAAAAACGTGTGAACAGGGGAAGAGGAAAGGGAGGAATCGCTAAACCTGGCGCGAAAAATAGCCATTTCCAATGGTTACGAAGTAAAAGCCACTCAGGTCAGACAAAAAAGTACGGTAGTCCCCCAAAACAATGTTTTTGACGTAAGTAAGACCCCTTTTAAGCTATCCTTCATATCAAATGAAGTAAGTTGCGCCATTAAGAGGTGTTTTAAAAAAGTGGTCTTGAAAATCACGTAACGATTACTGACATCCCACCCAATACGCGACGCCGTCAGTTAGTTTGCAACTGTCTCAACGATCGTTTGTGCAGCTCAGTGTATTATCTATCCTAACGGGAAAGACGGGGACTGCTTTCAGAAATAAAATACTTGATCCCATGTAACGCATACGGTGAGGAATATATTGGGAAAACGCACAGACCGTTTTGTGACCAGCATAAAAGAACATCTAGATGCGAAAGTTAAAATTCCTCAAAACACCCCTCTAGGTACGCATAGGGCACAAAAGCACAACGGCGATGATTTTGAAGTGAATGTGCGGATCCTAGCGCAGGAATCGAAAACATCAACGCGCAAAACTCTTGAGGCGTTTTGGATAAATTTCAAAAATCCAAAGATGAACCAGAAAGACGAATGCCTCATTATCACACGTGACCTGGCGTCCTATTTCAAAATGATATTTTGACACCTTGGCGTGTCTCGCTTGCGACCACACTGTAGAACGCGTGGGTTAATCCTACTCATAACGTCACAGTGAGCATCTTTCCTGACCAATATAGCGCCTCTTTAAAAGTTTGATCATCATTAATAGTTTAGCCTTTTTCCCCCAAATAATTAAAGCATTCTTGTATAAAATACGCCCAGGCTCTGAGGAAGGCGAAATCGCCGAAACGTCATCCATCGACCAACAACACCAGCCGCAACAACGACAACGAAAACCTATACCAACCTCGCATCAGCTTAAGAAGACCAGTTTATAAGATCATATAAATAAATGTTTACTACTTTGTTAAGAATATACCTCAAGTGAGCAAGATAGTCAAAATCTTGAAAAATATATTAATTTTATGAGCAGGTTAATTATCAGTGTATGACCATTACAAAATGTAAAATAAACAGAATCCGAATCAAATAGTGGCTCTTTTATACCACGGAAAAAGGTCTACTGCTATTATATCAAACCAAAAAGAATGGCTAACTTACTCGTACACCTGCGATAAAAACGTTATGGTCTGAACTGTCTTACCAAGGCCCATCTCATCAGCTAGAATGCAGTTACGCCTAAACAAAACCAATGAGAAGATTTTTTAGTCTAAAAATAAAACGCAATTATGCAAGTTTTCTAAAAATGTCTAGCGATGAATAACAGTTAAACAAAACCCACTCATTATAATAGCAGTATAACAACCAATCAACTCCTTCAAACTGGTACTCTCGTAAAGTATTTCCGTCCTTCCAGATTATATCGTCTGGTATTTTAGCCCATTCGCTAGCTTTAGGGCGGGGCTTCTCCTTCTACACAATAATGGTTAATAATAAAACTAAAAAACGTCTTGAATTGTAGAACATCCACTTACAACTTTTGCTTTATCAATTATTTGATATTTCCTCCAGGTGGACACCTATAATGTTCGACATTACAAATTATCCAAAGAAAAAATGGAAAGGAAGTAATGAAAGCACGAAACAATTCACAATACATAAGGGAAAGAAAAATCTTTGCCTTCTCTTCTGGGATGGATCCGATAGGCTCCCATGTTACTTCGTCATATGCGAGACTTTTCCACTTCACCAACGCATATTCGAGACCATCATCTCCCTTTCCGACATCCACAACACGATCAACAATTGTGTAGTCGCTATTGAAATCTTCCTCGTCCTAAACAACTGTGACTTAACCCTGCGAAAAAAAATAATAAAACGACACATAATCCCTTGATTATGAAGCTGAGACATAGGCAAAACATGGACCCTAAGTTAGAACCGAACCCGTAATTACCCTTTCTGACGTTTATGTGTTATCCACTCCACCACTAAGGCCCTTGCCTTGCCTTTCTCTCAGCCAGCTTTTTTTTCTTGATTGAAAATGCGTTGGGAAAAATCATCTACCAAATCATTGTTGGAATGAGATTTCTTCTGGCGAAAACGTTTCACTTTTGCCACCGCACGCTTATCGACTTCCTCCAACTCCTGCAATAAATTGATGAAAACGAATAAATTCCGCATAAAGCTAAAAATCAACGCTCCACCTTCAAACTCTTCCATTCGCAATGAACATAAGCTTTGCCTTTCCATTTTATGAGGTACTGTTGTTCACCACCATCGGGATCTTCACGAGAGTTCAGTACCTGTAGTTTTACACATTTAAAAGATCCTTTTTCTATACTTTTATATAAATACATTATGATATGTCTTACTCAAATACATTACGACATGTCTCTTTAAATGATAACTCATACGGTAAGCATTTTTTAGCACCAAAACGCATACTTTCTCAACAATTTGGTGATCAGCAGATTGCGTCTCCTGAGAATCGGTTGTCAAAATGGAGTCCTCAGCATCATCATCAACGGTATCAAGATCAGTCCATTTTGATACACTGCGCTTCTTAAAGAACACGAATATGAGAAGAACAAACAGTGCTTTAAAAGGGTAAACAAAGCAGATTAGTAGACAAACATCGTCATCATCGGTTTTTTCCTTCGTAGTTTTCACAAGCGTCCTTTTGCTCAACTTCCGGCTTCGTCCGTCAGGAATAAAATCATCATCGTCATCACCAGAATCATCAACACTTTTTTTCTTCCGCATCTAAATATGCACCCATGATATTTTATAGCACAAACACCTTTTGAAGAAGGTTAAGCATAAAAACTAGCCCGAACAACTGCAATTCTCTTAGGTTTTTTGCACTCTGGTGCAGGAGTGGAGGGTTCAGTGAAAACGCCATCTGTGGATTCTGCAATCTCGCTCGGAGTTGGGTCACGATCTTCAAAGACTTCCTCCTTGGTTAGCACAGCAGCCTACATATCAATGGATTTATCAAACGAATATCTACTGAATTGGAACAGATGTAAAAGAATATGTGGTAACCGATGAACTAGAAAATAACAAATGTATGCCAAAAACAAACTATAAAAGGAAGAGAAACAAAAAACAGAAAAAGTCTCACCTTATTCGACTTCCACGATCTTTTTGAAGATTTCACTGATGGCGGTTCACTTATGGTAACTTCGCTCTCCTCCGGTGATGGGTCTCGGCTATAAAAAGTTTTTTTTATGGTATTCACAGGGCCGTGTTCTTCAGTTATCGCAATGTGAAAACCTGGTGCTGGTTCCCGGTGTAGGATTACAAGACATCTCTGTTTCAGGTTCTGGTTTCGATTCTTCATCTTCGAGAATAGTGGTCATAGCAACTACTGATTTTTCGTCGACTTTCTAAACAACTTGATATCATAGTACCTAGGAATAATGGAAATGGTTGCAAGTAACAGATTCAGACGAAAAATGTAGGAACTGCCTCAAGTTGCTCGTCCACATCTTTCAGATCATCGCCCGTAGCAAGAGCTGGCTGTGTTTCGTCAGACAGTGTGGAATAATCAGCAGCTGCGATTCCAGTTGTGCTTGTAGTTGGCGGATAAGCCTCCAACAAATCTTTTTCCATTCCTTCAACACAGGCTTCTGAAGAAGGTGGTTCCAAGGAATCTATCTCGTCCATTACAGTTCGCATCGGAGGAGTAGCGTCATCTCTGTAAATTCTAGGTCATTTCTATACGGTAAGATACTAAACAATTGTTACCAAAATATCATAAGCCTTTTAGGTAAACATGGACGAACCTATCATCAAAAAGTTGGACAGATGGCCGGATCAGAGGATCAGGTGTGCTAAGTGGTGGTTTCACGTCCGCATCTTCATGCGAAGAAAAAACATCGGCTATGACACTAGGATCAGGCTAAAAAAATGTGTATTACCAATACTACTTTATCTATGTGTTTATATATACATATATGTACATATATGTATATATAATGTTTAACTTGATCTACTGTCTATTATTTTTTTCACGGCAGGTAACTGTATGAATTACAACCACAATCATGCTAAGTTATTTGCAAAACATGGACTCCAGACCACAGCCGAACCCATGACAACCCTTTCAGGGGGTTCAAGTGTTACCCACCACGCCACTGAGACTCTTGCTTTGCCCATTTTTTAGTGAGTTTTTCACACTAACGCTGTCATCAGCAATCACCCGTCAGCGGGAATGATCTAGGTAGCACATATTGGCCGTGAAAAAAGCTCCATGGAAATAAAAATAGTAAAAACTAAATAAAAAGTTAAACATTGTAATTTCGACTACAGGCCCAACTTAACTGGGTTCTATGTCGATATGTGCTGCCGAGATCATTCTCATTGACGGATGACTGTTGATGACACCGTTTGCGTTTAAAAAAAACTGACTGAGAGAAAGGAAAAGTAAGGGTTTCAGTGGTGAACAGGGTAACACGTGAGATCCCGGAAAGTGTAATCGCCGGTTCGAGTCGCGCATGGGGTCAATGTTTTGCAAATAACAGCACTGAAGTGGTTGCATATGGATATACGTATATCTATATGTGTATATGCGTATATTTATGTGCATGTATGCAAACATGTATACTCGTATATATACAGGTCCACATGCACATACACAAATGTGTCCATGCATATATGTATGTATACGCTTTTACACATTCAAATATATCCAAATACGCATAGCATATGTACATATGCATATACAGACATATAAAACGTAAGCTTGAAAATCCACCTAAGGCGTTGTATATACACATACATATACATATACGTAAGAAGTACATACATATGTATATACGTGTATATATATGTGTGCATAACGAAAGCTTATACATACACATATATATATATATATACAAGTGTGTATAGATCTACATGTATGTAGGCACATATATACATAGATGTGTATACATATACACATATAAATATATATATATAAAGCTAAAAGCTCTCGGTGTTGATCAATCCCTGAGGGATGCGCCATGCATTCGACTTCATTAAGTATCGTTGGAGATTACTGAATTGCATATCTGGCCTTTACAATGACTCGCGATAGCCTACCGATGTATCCAGCAAGTGCTGCTATCCTCCCAGACAAGTCTGGTACCAATTTGCCGACTCCAGAGGGATAGAAGGCTTAGTGAGCCATGGCCGCGAGGATCAACTCCACGTGTGTGTCACAGTGGCGCCTCCAACGACTGCCCCACACACGCCCTTGTATATATATGTATGTATGTATGTATATATATATATATATATATACATGCTTAGATATATATATTTACGTACATATATGAAACTCGAAAACCTACTTAAGAAACATTAAACCGAGCGATTGTACATACTCTTATTTCAGTCATTCAAGTTAGAAAAGCAGAAGTCAAAATGAAATGAAAGTGCTACAAGCCACCTTTTTCTCTAATTCGTCCGCTGGTTTTCTCGATTCCAAAGAAGGGTCCAAATACGGATTGTAAACCGCTGGCTTCTGTTCCACTGTAGATGACGAATGTGATTGTTGCAGCTGTATCTGCGCAACCGGCTCTCCAACATTATGCACATGCACCTACGACAAGTGAAGATTACCAACTGGTTGAAAAATAAATGAGACTGTAAACATGGAAAAACAAGCACAAAGATAACTAGAAAAACTTACGCCATTCTGGAAGCTGGTGGCGATCCCATTTGGTGGCATCGACGGTGACTGGTGGATTGGCAGAATATGTGACTGAATTTGTTGTTGAGGCACCACAATATTGTGCGACTGCTGCTGTTGCGATATTTGAATGTGACTGGATGGAATTGGTTGTTGGATATGTTGTGGAGGAGGTGACATGAGCTGGTGCGTTTCCTATACAACATATTCCTCAATTCTAGAAAAATGAATGATCTTAGCGCTACCTGGTACTGTTTCTGTTGTTGAGTCGGTGTTGGCTCAGGAGGTACTGAATCTTTCGCTTCTCCATTGAATGCTTCATCCCTATTTGGCGACTCGCCAAATCTATGGTAAACGCTTATCAATGTGCGACCTGACGTTTCCGGCTTGATGTTCACCTAAAACAAAAGTTAAGGATGGTCGCAGTAATAGAAAGAAAAACCGTACCTGAACCTGACTACCACTTTGAGTCACCTGTACCGGTGTGTTAGGTGTCGCCGAAGGACTTTGCTGAATAACTACCTGCTGGTTGGGGGGTCCTGTATTGCGACCACTCGGTGGTCCCATTCCGGGAGCGGGCATCTGAATAGTAATTGGAGAAATCCCTTTTTGCCAATCTAAAGAAGCATGAGTGATTCTAAAGAGATACTTGCTGATTCATGGGCAGCCCAGTGTTTGAGTTTGGCATAGACGACATTCCAGAAGGCATCTGCTGCCCAGCTTGAGGTTGTTGCTGTTGTGCAGACTGGGGCGGTTGTTGCTGTTGGGTTGGTATCGGTTGACCTCCTTGGACATTCATCTGAAGTCGATGATGTTCTGCTTGCAAATACTGAAGGCGCATCTGCATCTGAAAGTAAAAGCAATTCCTCAGTGTTGAAAACTAAACTAATGTTGAGTAAAGCGTAGACGAAACCGTGAATTGTACTAAAAATGTATGCACTAAACTTGATTTAATAAAGATTAAACTGTTACGCATTTGTTACAATAGGAAAAAATTTAAATCGAGACATAGGCGGAAACGACTGTTTTTCGACTTTGAACAAACATATCCCAAAAATTTTGCTTGTTTAATACCTCACTTAGTTGACACGTGGACTTTAACGCTAAAACGACTAGAATATTCGTTGGTCTCAGAAACATAAATCTTGACAATCTCAGAATGAAAAGTGTTTCTTGTTGAAAAGTATCTATGATAATTCCCAGGATCGACTTTCTCTTAACCTCGGCATTGGAAGATGAATGTGTCGTTTTCTTGTTCAGCAATCGCGAGGTTTTTAAACAGCATACATTTACCTCCATAAAAAACACAGTACATTACAACGCTAGCTGACGTTTCGGCAGTATCGCCTTCTTCAGAGCCGCTTTTTCGTGACTTCCAATGAGGAAGTTTAGAACAGCTNAGCTGTTCTAAACTTCCTCATTGGAAGTCACGAAAAAGCGGCTCTGAAGAAGGCGATACTACCGAAACTTCAGCTAGCGTTGTATTGTATTGTGTTTTTTATGGAAGTAAATGTATGCTGTTTAAAAACCTCGCGATTGCTGAACAAGAAAACGACACAAGTATCTATGATGTCTGATTATTCTTACTTCATAAAATACACTGAGTTATTTTTCAAAAGCTTAACAAAAAGTTAAATAATTTTTGGCCAGTAGGCATAGCTCCGAATGTGCTGAAGTAAA